GCGCACCTCGGGGAGGAGCGACGCTCCACGCAACCGCCCGCTCTCCAAGCGCCGTCCCGCCCGGGGTCCTTCGGAGGGGTGGGCAGCAGGCACAGCATATGCCTCACGTCGACCTCGCGCGGCGTCAGTCTGCCCTCGGGGTAGCCCTGGCTGTGGTCCTCGAGCTCGGTGCCGAAGGCCACGTGCCACCCATCCTCACGCGCCCCAAGCAGTGGCCTCCCCTGAGATCCGCCGTCGCGACAACAGTGCAGCATCGTGGAAAATGACGCCCAAAGCCCTAGCCGCAATCTGCCTGCGACATTTCCCAGCCGGATCGATCTGTGAGGGCCCCAGGGCCTGAATCTGGACGAAAACGCCTGGTGTGAAAAAAATACAACGCCCGGATCTCAAGGCCTCTCTCTCGCTCTCTCCATCCTCCTCCCTCCTCCTCCTCCTCCTCCTCCTCCTCCTCCACCTTTGCTCGCCTCATCACTGTACTCGCCGCTGTGTCGTGCGTTAGCCTTCGCCAGACCCAGCTGTGCGTTTGGCATCTTGGCGCCCGTGTGTTGGATATTCCCTGCATTTTAATATTTCGCGTAGCTGGGCGCCGCCATTTGCTGAGAGGTCCTGCACCTGATCAGTTTCGCAATCCAAATCCTACTCCTCTTCGTCGTCCTCCTCCTGGCCAGCAACGGGCGCGTGCCCTTCACGGCCACGAGGACAGACCCCGTGAGCTCGTCGGTCTCCTCGTCTTCCCGCTGGCGGGCCCATAGGGAGCTCCACCGAATGCGCCCGTGGCGCAGTTCGCATGTGTCCGCCCGACCAGTGTCGGCACGCCCGACGTTTCGCGGCCTCATCTGGGAGCCCAGCTGAGTGCCTCCGTGGCGCATTTCGCGTGCGTCCGCCCGACCAATTCCGGCACACCGCTCACGCGTTTCGTGGTCCATATGGGAGCTCCACCGCCGAGCGCCTCCGTGGCGCATTTCGCACGCGTCCGCCCGCCCATTTCGGCACACCCCTCGCGGGGTTCGCGCCCCCATAGGGAACTCCACCGACTGCCTCCGCGGCGCAGTTCGCATGCGTCCGCACGACGTATCCCAGCTGGCCCCTCACGCGGTTCGTCGCCCCATAGGGAACTCCACCAGGCGCCTCCTCTGCGTGCGTACGCCCGACCAATTTCAGCACACCACTCATGCACTCCCTGGCACCATAGGGAGCTCCACCGAGTGCCTCCGTGGCGCAATTCGCATGCGTCCGCCCGGCTAAGTTCGGTGCACCCCTCATGCATTTCGTGGCCTCATATGGGATCTGAGCCAAGTGCTGCCTTGGCGCAGCTCGCATGCATCCCCCAACCCATTTCGGCGCACCCCTCACACGTTTCGTGGCCCCAAATAGAGCTCCACCGAAGGCCCCAGCGGCTGCGTTCGCATGGCACCGCCGCGCCCATCTCGGCACACCCCTTGAACGCCTCGTGGCCCCATAGGGAGCTCCATCGAAGGCCCCAACGGTTGCGTTCGCATGGCACCACCGTGCGCAATTCGGCACACCTCTCAGACACTTCGTGGCCCCCAAAAGGAGATCCACCGAAACTGCTACCCACAACGTGGTACCCACAGCTGCACATGGCTGGGCCCTTCGCCAGGACAATTCTTCAGGACGCGACCACGCCTGGGTTGGTGTGCCTGCTGTATTCTTGGCAGAGCACCCCAGCCTTGTCGTGGGGGCGTCGGCTGTCCCTCTGGCGGCCCAGGCTGGGTCGGGCGTGCCCCACCTCGGGGGGATGCCGAGAAGGTGCCAAAGGGGGGCCACCACTGAGGCGGTCGTCGCTCCCTCGAGGAGTTGGGGCCCCCGGGAGCCCCCCCCTGCAGGGCCACCACTGAGGCGGTCGCCGCTCCCTCGAGGAGTTGGGGCCCCCAGGATCCCCCCCCTGCAGGACCTTTTTGGAGAATGTCCAGAGGAGCAGTGCTACACCCGGCTGCCCCGTGGCAGGCGGAAGCCCGCTCGACGCAGCTCTCATAGTGATCCTGTACAAGTTTCACATCCTCCGCCCACGTGCAGCGCGCTCAGCCTCGTCCGCCAACAATGCCAACGCCGCCCTCGATGGCCTCGTCGGACGCCTCCAGGGCCGCTAAGAGCCCCCCCCGAACGCAGGAGATCGTCCAAGTACCTCCACGGGCCTGGATCTTCGAACCTCGATTTCCAGGAGGGGCTGGCAACCCCCGCAATGGCGCCCCCCTAGTGGCGACCTGAAAGGCAACGGTAACAGGGGACTGGCTCAGGAGGATCGGCTCAGGGGGGGACACATCGACATGGAATCGGCGATACATAGCCAATGGACCGGCGATAGCCCTCGACGGCGAATCCGCATGCTCGTGTGCGCGGTGGGCAAGCCCCGTATCGGGGATCAGTGGGCGATTGGGGGTCGATGCACCCCCCCGAGCCTGTCGCCCCCCTAATTACGTTGGCCCTCGCGGCCCCCCCCTTGGCATTACCCGAGAATCTTCCCGGAGATCCGACGGTGCGAACCAAAAAAACCCATGGTGAAAAATCGCGACTGGAAGCCCATACCCGATCTTCTGCGGCACTTTCCAAGCCAGATCGATCTGAGAGGGCCCCGGGGCCCGAAATCCGGCGAACACGCCCGCCCCAAACATCCAGCGTCTCGACAACTTCCCGTGGACCGGTCTTTCGACGGTCGACGGTCCCGGGGCCCTGTCAGGGCCCCCGAGGCACCGACAACGATGAAACATCTCCGTCCCGATTTTTCGAAACGCCGGATGCTTTGGGGCTGTGAAACAAATGCCACGCCCGGGTCTCCAGGTTGGGCATGGCGGGTCGGCAACACGCAAGGGCAACCCCAGGCAAGAGTGACCTTTGGTGCGCGGCCTCAGGGGGGCGCGGGGGGCCAAACCCAAGCGCGCAACCCGCTGCTGTCGCATCGCGTTCAGCCATCTGGGGGCCCCAATGTTCGAGTAGGGGATCCACCGCAGAATTCATGTAGCCCAAGATTGAGTGTTCCCTCGGCTACAAACAAAAACGATAATGCCCCGTAGATCTACGAGGCCGTCTACATATGTTTCGCAGATTCGACGAACGAGCAGTATTGGGGTACATCAGGGCTGTAGTCGATCCCTTCCTCGCAGTGTGCCCGCAACAAAGGTCACTCTGGCGAAAGGTCGCTCTTCTGTGCAGCAAAGCCAGAACTTCTGCCGAGCGCTCTGGCCTGGCCGCGCGCCGCGTGGGACCCGCCTTGGGCCCGTCGGCTCGGGTCCTAGCCCCAGACGTGCGACGTCCTGATTTTTTCAATACTCGGGAGCGGCAAAGAGGGGGGCGTCAAAGAGGGGGGGGTGCAAATCATGACCGGCGGCATGTGCGCGGCCCGACGGGGGGGCCAGGGACGTAATGAAATAAGAAGAGGCGCCATGAAATCTGGGGAAATATCATGGCCCGCGCCATGATATCCACCCCCCCCTAGTCATCAACCCCCTCTTTTCCGCTCCCGAAATACGTGGTCCCCTGGAAGCCCCGACCCTTTCCCCGGGACCGGCTCTTCACCGTGACTCGGCTCTTGGTCCCAGAGCCCAAAACGAGGGCCTCCGGAGGCCGACGCCGGCCAGAAGCCTCCCGCCCTGATTGTCTACGACGCGATCCTGTCTGGGGCGCGCGCGCGCCCCCGCGGCGCCCGCGCGTCCTGCGAGGGGTCCCAGTAGGACGCTTCGCCTCTGCCAACCCCGGCCACGTCCACCGGCATGCCTGCGCGGGGGAGGGGCTGCCGGGCTCGCGATGGAGGGGAGAGAGGGGGGTCCCGAATGGACTGGGGCCCGATGTCTCTCCCTGAGATCCTGGCGTCACCAGTCTTTCCGCACCGCGGGTTTTTTCGCTCGGTGCCGGGCCCAGGGACCATCACAAACCCATCGGGCTCAGGGTCTCGGCTTCCCTTCCCGGCCCCGGGGACCGCGAAAACCAGCTCGGTTTAAGTCGGGCTTGTCCCTCTACAGGGGGAATGCTCAAAAATAGTAAAAAATAGTCAGGGGACTATTGTTTGTAGTATTTTTGGGCATCTCGTGAATATTTTTTGAATATTCTTTATCTATCGTCCAAGATCCCCCTGTGGAGGGACAGGCCCGACCTAAGGTTCTGTGGGAAGAGCTGGTCCTGGGGGAAAGGCCCTGGGGTGCAAGAACTGGTTCCCTCAGGACCAAGGACCCGCTTCCTTCATGACAAAGGGCGACGGGCCAGAGGGTGATCCCCTCACTGAGCACAGATAACCACTGGTAAGCTTGCTGTGGCCGCACCCTCGTTGCGTAACCCAGAAAGCCAGGACGACCGTGCGTACGAGAAGCGAGGCTCAGAGGAGCAGCACGGGCTGTCTGGCCTTCGTGGCCAGCGTGCCCAGTGAGGGCGATCCAGGCTACGAGGGCGCCAGGCCAACTGCTTTCCCACTGCGCACCCCTGTGACGCTGCACCCTCCATCGCCAGGCCTGAGCTGGATCAACTCGCGGAATCGGATCGGATCGAATCGTGGACGACTCGTCCCGAATCAAATCACATTGAAATCGGATGACCGCGACTGGCTCCAACTGGCCCCAGCCGATGCCGGTGAATGGAACCAGATCGAATCGAATCGAAACCGCGGCCCCAGCCGGCGCATCGAATCGCATCGCACCGAGTCGTGGGCGGCCCCGACGGTCGCCGTCGCGCGCGCACAAATTCTCTGCGCCTCCACGGGCGCCCGCCGAGGCGCAGCCCCAGCGCGGGCCTCCCCCAAAGCCTCCCGGTGGCCTTCGGGCCGACTGCTCATTCGCGCCGCGAGCCCCTCGCGCCCTGCGCCCAGCGGTCGCCGCCTGCGGCCAAGAGGGCGAAGCGACATGCAGCGGGTGCGTGGACCTGGCAAGGCTCAGGGCTGCGCGCAAGCAGCCCCCATGGAGGCAGTCCTGGCCGACCCCAACGGGGCACTTTGATGAACAAATGTGCTCTAAGGGGAAGTTGAGGGCGGACAGCACGATAGATCAACAGGGCCTCCTATGGTATTCCACCTGGCGCTGCCTCAGGCGGCGCCCCCCAGGGCGGCGCTGCGCGCCCCCGGGGCTAGGTGTTGAGACCGTCTGAGACTACCCTGGGGGTCTGTTGAAGCTAGCCTGGAGAACCTTCTGGGGCGGTCTGTGCGCAACCTCGAACGCTGCCAGCGTGGACGAGCAAGAACCCCAGCCTGGGACTCCCGACGCCTGGATGCTTTCGCGACGTGGCCTCTGGAACTCTCGACTTCAGATTCGGGCTCAAATTCTGACAGCGGGCAATTATCTGACGGTTCCTGGCCCCGCAGGCGGCCCCCCCAGTGCGGAATTCGGCCCCCAGAGGAATCGGCACTGAAATTCTGCCAGCGTCGCGCGTGTGGTCTCCGAACCATCGGTTCGTGTACTCTCGATGTGCGAGACATATGTGGGGCAAGTCATAGGGCACCAACCACGGGACACCACACCCGCATGGCAGGCCACCAGCCCTAGGGCACCCAGTGCGACGGGCTGACCACGACCCACACGGCACCGCAGACCGCGACCCACAGGGCACCACGAGGCACCAGACGTAGGCCACCCACCACAGGGCACCTGACGCAAACGGCCGACCCTGCACCCGATCACAACCCGCAGGGCACCACACAGCACCAACGCGCAGGACACCGCCGCAGAGGGCGCCAACGCACCGCCCCGTGGGGCACCATCGCACAGGCAGTGCAGATGGCACCAGCGCCCAGGGCACTGAACGGGACCAGCCGCAGAGCACCAGCTGGGAACGGCGGACCCCGACACGCAGAGCAAGCATGATCGGGTAACCAACCATAGAGCACCGAGCGGGAGCGGCCATAGGGCACCAACCAAGGAATAGCCGACTGAGGCACCGAGGGCCAGCTCCTTGTAGCCCGAGCAAGACCGGTCAAGTGCAAGCACTGCTTGGAGGAACAAAACAAAATCTCAGTCGTCGGAGGTCTGGGCAAAGATTTCTTCGAAGCGCATGCAGCCGTGGCCACTTGGGAGTCCCAAGAGGCCCAGAAAGGCCTAGATACGCAAATCCCTGAGACCCGACGTCGCGAAACAAATACACCACCGCGAAAAATCTCGGCCAGAGCCCTGGACACCGTCGTTCTGCGGCATTCTTCGGGCCGGATCGATCTGGGAAGGCCGGGGGCCGAACCAGGATGAAAATATGCCGTGCAACGCCAGGATCTCAAGGAAACGAGTCCCTGACCATGGACCCTCGCCTCCCCCACCATGCGCCAGCTCCCACCCCAGACAGCCGGCGCTCCACTTTTTTGGATGCGTGGACCCCTGGAGGTCTGGACCATTTCCCTCTATGGCCGCGCTTTCATCCTGAATTGGTGTTTGTCGGTCCTGGGGCCCGTTGCGGGCCCATGGAGGTCGAACATCGGAAAAACCCGCCGCTCCAATGTTTTCTCAAGTCGGGCATGCCCCTCTACAGCAGGAATATTCTAAACTAGGCAACAAGTAACCTGGTGGTGACGATTTCTCTACTATGTTTGACCATTTCCGATGATTTGTGTTGACCTTTTTTAGTGGTTCTTCCAGAATCCCCCCATCACCCTGCAAGAGGACATGCCCGACCTATTTGTGTCGGAGGCTCGGATCTTTGGGATCTCCGCCCGCCATGCCTGCCAGCAGCTCCGGCGGCGCCGACAACACCTGGGCGAGGTGCGCCGCCTCCAGCGTGACCCGCTGCAGCGAGGAGCGCTCCACGCCGCTCTCGTCGTAGTCGCTCAGGCCATCGTAGACGGCCTCCCGGCGCGAGATAGAGAGGGGCACGAGGAGGAGGGTGAGGAGGAGGAGGAGGAAGAGGAGGAGGAGGAGGAGGAGGAGGACAAGGAGGAGGACGAGGAGGAGGACAAGGAGGAGGAGGGTGAGGAGGAGGAGGAGGAAGAGGAAGGAGGGACGACAACGACGACGACGACGACCGACGACGACGACGACGACCGACGACGACGGCGGACGACCGACGACCGACGACCGACGATGGACGACGGACGACGGACGACGGACGACGGACGACGGATCGACCGACGACCGACGACGACGACGACGACGTCGACGGGTGCCGGACGACGGACGACGACGACGACGACGACGACGACGAAAAAATCGCTCGGGTTGAAAAACGTCAGATCGTCAGAGATTTGGGGCTCCGCTCAAGATCGGCACCCGGACCCCTCTGCTTGGGTTCCTTCTGGCCGTTTTCTCGAGCCGCGCCCCTTGCCGTGGAGACGAGGGGTGCCCGCGAGGCCCCAAACCAGCTCGAACCTCGACCACCGAACCTCGAGCTAGAGCAGGAAGAGGAGAACCCTCGAACCCGGAGTCAATAATTTTTCGAGCCCCGCGTTTTCGCCTTTTTTCGGGCCCCGGGACCCTCACAAATCGATCTGGCTCGAAAAATGACAAAGATCAGACTGGGTTGAGGGCTCGGGTGATCATTTCTCACGATGTTTCGATTTTTTCGAGACGTCGGATCTCATGGAAGCTGGAGGCAGACATGGCTGGATCAACGCGCCGGAGCGTGGGGCGTGGAGCGAGGAGGAGGAAGAGGTGGAGGAGGGAGGAGGTGGAGGAGGAGGAAGAGGAGGAGGAGGAGGAGGATGATGATGATGATGAGGAGGAGGAGGAGGAGGAAGAGGATCCCGCAGTCGCACGAGACATCCTCGAACAACGGCCCATTTCCTAAAACCGTGCGGCAGACCGCAATCCCCACTGACTCACCACACGGTGTGGTCACCGCAGTGTTTAAGGGTCCCCCCCAAACTGCGCCCCGCAAACACTGGGCCGCATCGGGCATCGGGTCTCTGGAACATCGGAATCGAATCGGACCGAACCGGGCGAGGTCAATGCCGAACCGTGCCTATCAGATCGAAACTGGCCCTGCCGCTGTTTTCAAACTTTTGCAAGGCCCCATGCTCGCCAGCTGCAAGAGGCTTCGAGAACGCCCATCCATCCGTAGCAAATCCTGTAGCGAGCGCCTCGGAAGCGGCGCCCCTGCGTAACACACAGAGTTCGCCAGCCCAGCAAACTGTCGGAGTGTTATTTCCCAGTTGCAAGCGTCACGTTTCAGGTGCAGCGGTATCAAGCAGACTGGACCACGCGCGGGAGGCTTCTGGGGGACCGCCAAAATCAGAGTCTTACGTCGTTCACTCGCGGCACCGAAGACATGCCAAGGCCGCCTCTAGATGACATAGATTAGGTCGACCAAAGCTGGTCCAAGTCTGCTCCAAGAGACCTCAAAACAGGTGTGAGTTGGCCCGAATACCCACCCAAGACGGTTTCAGTACACGCCGATCTTGTCCCAAGATGCCCAACGGGCTCCCAATATGCCCTCAATGGTGGGGTCCCCAGGGCCCTCAGCAGGCCCCGGGCAGGGCCTGATTCACAAAATTATAGCAAGGTTGTCTGCGCGAGGAGCTGGTTAGCGATGAGCTCCTCGCGCGTGCCCCCGTAGACCACAAGGAAGTCCGTGCTGCCCTGCCCGTCTGGGTGGGTGTCCATGAACGCGCTCCGCCCCGCGTCGTCCTCAGGGACGCGGAGGAACTTCATGGCATGCGCCCAATTGGCCGTGTTTTTGGCGAGGAGGGTCCCGTAGCCGGGGAGGCTACGTTGCACCTCTCGGCACCTCGCCTCGTGTGTGGGGGCGGCGCCGGCCCACTGCAGCAAGGCGGGCGAGGCGTGGAGAAAGCCACTCGGCGCCCGCGCGCCAGCGCCCTGCAAGCACAACCGCATGTACTCCCGCGCGCCTTCGTCCGAGTGCAGTGCGGCCAGCGCCCGGAGGGCCGGGCCCCGCAGCGCCCGCTGGGGCAGGTGTCGGATGCTGAAGGGCTGGGCACGGCTGTCGTAGGCCCTCCGATCAGCAGGCGGATCAGCCCCTCCACAGACGCTGGCGGTGGGCCTCCCACCTCCTGCAGGAAACGCAAAGAAGGCCATGCTGTTGAAGGCGACGACGAGGGCGATCATCCTGAAGGCGTCGGGGGCCGAGAGGCCGGAGAGCAGCTCCAGGATCCCATTGTATGGGCGATCCTGCCATATGTGCACGTTGTGGCAGTGCATCCTGTCGATCGTCTCCGCCAGCGTCCGCCCGCCTTGCGCCCGCGCGATCGCGGCGGGGAGACCGCCCAGCTCGGCCGCCGTCGTGCCTCGCACGCACTCCCGGGCCGTCACCGCGAGCACCAGCGCGGCCAGCAAGGCCGAAACTACGGCCTGGCGGCCGTCCGCTCGGCTCTGCTTGCCGAAGTAGGTGCGCAATACCGTCCACTGCGCCCGCTCGACTTTCGAGCCGGCTCCTCGCACGAGGGCTTCGTACCGGCGCCTTGTGCTTTCGGGCAGGTCTGCTGCTGCGGGTCTCCTCAGGGCCGCTCGCACCGCCCTCGGCGTCATCTCCTTCGAGAAGGCGCGCTTGCGGCCCCTCGCCGCGGGTGGGGGCGCCGCACGGCCGGCCTGCGTCGGCAGTGGCGGGGCAGGCAGCGCCGGCACGCCAGGGGGCGCCTGAGGGCCTGCAGGGTCTCCGGCTCCTTGGTGGTGCTGCTGGCGGGGCCCGCGCCGCTCTGGGAGTCTGAACCCGTCTGCTTGTCCAGTGCGAGGCCCCTGGAGGTGCTCCTGCTAGCGATCTTGGGGCTCTTGTCCATTGCGCATTGGGCGATGGCGCTGATGTTTTTTTCCTTCCTCACTGGCCGCGGGGCCGGGCGGCCGCGCTGGCCCGTAGACGCCCGCCGCTGGGCGGAGCCCGAGCGGGAGCAGCCAGCCCGCGCTCCTGGGCCGGCCGCTGGAGCACGGGGGGTCAAGCGGTCGCGCAGGGCGGTGGACGCCTGCCTCAGGGCGGGGCCCGACCGGGAGCGCCCGGCCCGCGCAGCCGGGGCGTGGGCGGTCTGCTGCCGCTGCTGCAAGGGGCCGGCTGCCGCGGCCCTTCGGGCCGCCATCGCGTGAGAGGGGGAAGGGAAGGAGGGCCGCCGGAGGAGAGGGGAGGTGAGAAGATGGCGCCCGGCCTGACAAGGGGACCCCTTGAGCCCTCCTCCTTCTCTTCCTCCTCCTCCTGCTCCTCCTCCTCCTCATCCTCCTCCTCCTCCTCATCATCCTATTCATCTTCTTTCTCCCCACCCCCTCATCCATCCATCCAGCCTCTTGTTTCTCCGCCTTCCTCCTTCGCACGGTTCGGTTGTCCACCTCTTTGCTCCCGCACTCCCCTGATTACCTCAACTCGCCTGGACATCGTTTCTGGATGGGCTGGTGGGGATATGCGAAACGTTTGGAATTGACCGATGATTCTGCCCCATCGTTCATTTCTCAAACGAACTCGTACCATTCCAGCATCCATGACAAATCAGAAACATGCGCACGCACCAGGTTACCAATCAATATAAATACCCAACAACCCCTTGCGACAAACGAAGCAACATCCACACGCGCGCAGGTGTCGCGCGCGCGTGCCGGAATCCTTTGAACACATTGGATTCCGCACGGCTTTCAGAATCCAAGTTCCCGATCACAGATACAAGCATCGGGTTTTGCACTTTGGTGTAAAAAAAGGTCTTCGCGCGCTCTTGTTAATTCGCGAGGAAGCCCTGGTGTTCAACGTTCTCATCGCGTGCGACCAAGCGAGCCTCTCGCGCGCGCATGTCGAATCATTCGAACGCCGGTGCGCGCGTGCTTGGGGGGGGTCCTTGTCAAACATTACGCAAGACCATGTGGACCACTCGCGCCCGTCGGCAGCGCGCGCATGGCGAAATCCCCCCAAAACCTTCATCGCCGAAGCGTGGACACCATCATCGTCATCGACATGATTGATATTGCCGTCAATGGCCTTGCCGTCATCATCGTCATACTGGTCACCAGCATCGCTGCTATCATCATCAGCATCATCATCATCATCATCATCATCATCATCATCGTGTCAGCCGTTGTCGACGTCGCCATAAGACTCCGCGTTCCCGAACCACCGATTCGTACTGAAGTGCCCGTGCGTCAGCGCGGCCTGCGAGACGCGCTGGGAAATGCCCAGCGGTCAGCGCCACCGCGGCCGCGTCGGTCGCGCCAGATTGGTTGGCCGGTCAGCGCGCGAGCCTGCGCGCGTTAGCGCGGCCGCAACGATGTGCCAGCCAGCGCCAAGCAGTCATCGCAATCGCCGCCGCATGGATTTTGCAAACCAAGTTGCGGGTGGGTGGGTGGGATGGTTGCGCGAGCAGTGGAATTGACAAATTCAAGTTCGATATGGCAAACTTCACCACGTAGATTACACGACGTAGAATGCAAAGCATAGATAGCAGCAGGTAGTTGACACAACACAAGTAACACCACAAACATTGCACCACATAGATTTCAAACATACACTGCGCCATGTAGATCGCGCCGCAAGAATTGCACCACAAAGATGGCACAACGCAGGTTGCACACCATACGATGCACTCCGCGCGTTGTACCGCATCGATTCCACAACATAGGTCGCACTCCACAGATTGCGCAGTACAGCTCCTGCATATATTGTACAACGTAGATCGCATACCAAATAGTGCGCACCATCTGTTTTCCTTGTAGAGAAGAAATAGGTTCTACCACCCTCGCCCCTCCGGATTTATCGACTCCCCGGGAACGAATGCGAAACACATCTGGTTCTGACCCAATGTCCATCCGACCTGTGAGCTCATATTAACCCAGGCAGGCCGGTATCGATCCCCTTTTGGTTCCCTTGGAACAAAATATGTATGCACGCGCGAAATCCTTTGCAACAGAATGGGGCGAAGTGCGCGCGCGCGTCGTCGCGTGCGCATGCCCGAATCCTTCAAAAAACCTTCGGTTTCGGAAGGGTTCCAACATCGAGTGTCCAAGCAACATTAAAATACACAGGGTTTCGCAGCACGGATTTTCAACAATAGAGTGCGCGCGCGCTCTTGCGATTTTTTAATAAACAACCATGCGTTTCAACGTCTTCATAACATGCTACCAACGGGGCTTCGCGCGCGCATGTCGAAATCGTTCGAACGCCCTTGCGCGCGTGCTGGGGTGGCACGATCCGTGTTCAATAAAAACATGCGAGCCTCATTCGCGCGTCTGCCGCGCGCACATTTCGAATTCCGTCCAACACCTTCACCACCGACGCGAAGACGCCGTCATCGTGGCTGTCGTGATCAGCGTCGGCGCCGTCGCTGGCATCGCTGCTATCATCATCGTGTCTACCCTTGTCGGCGTTGCCATGATACCGCGCCCGCCCAAGTCGCCGACTCGCGCTGAAGTGCCCGCTGGGATGTGCCGAGCGGTCAGCGCCACCGCGGCCGCGTCAGTCGCGCCAAACAAACTAGCTTGCCGCTGCGCGCGCGAGCATGCGCGGGCTAGCGCGGCCGCAGAGATGCACCAGCCAGCACCCAGCACTCACCGCAATCGCTCCCGCATGGGTCTTGCAAACCAAGTTGCGGGTGGGTGGGTGGGATGATTGCGCGAGCAATGGAGTTGACAACTTCAAATTCGGCAAGTGAACCGCACACCACCGATCGCATTCCTTATTTTGCAACACGTCGATTGCACCGCATGTTTTGCACCACATATGTTGCTCCACATAGTGCTAGAAGCAGACAGTTTGGGGTCCAAGCTGGCTACAGCACACACATACACGTATATAGAGAGTTCATGAGCAAACGCATATTTACACTCTGCAAATCTAGGCGCCGGTGCACACATTCAATGATACATGTAGTTATGACGGTGGGTGCATCTATGCATATCTATATGCACATGGATCCGGTTTCGACTCTACGTGTGCAAATGTATGCTCCGTTTCCAGTCCCCTGTGAACGCCGTCGCGCTATCATTCGTTCGCTTACCACGCTTCTCGACAACATTATTGTTTCAGCCTGACGGCTTCAAGTGACCCCACGGGTCTTCATTTTCCTTCTCCTCCCCACTTCCCTTCCTCCCACTCCTCCTCTTTCCCCGTGGACCCGCACAGACATCCTGAGAGCCCTCAGCGGTTTCCAGGCTCCCACTGTAACTCACGCTGAAAAGCTGGAACAACTTCGCCTCCTACTTTCTTCTCCTCCCTTCTCCTTTCTTCTCCCCCGTCCTCCCTGATTCCCGCAGGACGGGCTAACATAGCCTAGAACGCTTCTGACCCCCTTAACAACTCGAACCTTTACCTCTCCTTCCCCCCCTCCCCTTCCTCTCCCTCCTCTGCCTCCTCTCCCCCTCCTCCTCCCTTCTCCTCCTCCTCCTCCTCCTCCTCCTCCTCCTCCTCCTCCTCCTCCTCCTCCTCCTCCTGCTCCTACTCCCCCTCCCCCTCCCCCTCCCCCTCCCCCTCTTCTTCCTCCTCCTCCTCCTCCTCCTCCTCCTCCTCCTCTGCCGCCTCCAGCGCCTCCCCCTCGTCCCCCCCTTCCTGTCCTCCTTTTACTCTTCCACTCCCTCCTCCGCGTCCTCCTCCGATTCCCCCTCCTTGTCCTCCTCCCTGCTCCTCGTCCTCCTCTTCCTCCCCCTCCTCCTCATCACCCATTCTCCGCGTCCCTCCTCCCCCTCCTTCTTGATTCTCCCTCCTCCTCCCTTCTCCTTCCCCATCCCCCCTTCCCCCCCCCTGGCCTTGGGGAGGAGCCTGATGTACTGACCCGGGCACGTCCGGCCAGTCCGGCCGCGCCGCTGCTTCATGGAGGCGCGGGAGCACCACTCCATGGTCAGTCTCGACATGCGCGCGTCGTCGTCGTACACGCTGACGCCTCGGCATCTCGCTCATTTTTTTGTGTTGTTGTTGCTGCTGCTGTTGCTGCTGCCGTTGCTGTTGCTGTTGATGTTGCTGTTGCTGTTGCTGTTGCTGTTGCTGTTGCTGTTGTTGTTGTTGTTGTTGTTGTTGTTGTTGTTGTTGTTGTTGTTGAACATTATTACTTCTAAAGAATAATTATTGTTGGGGCCCCTGGTGCACGGCCCCCTCGCCGCGCCTAGGCCGCAACCATGTTTTCATCACTTTCGTGAGGAAGTCTCGGCAAAACGGGTTGGTCCGGATCCGGTTGTTTTGTTACGGGCGGTTTTCCCTTGCCAAAAAATAAGGCAAATTTGACATTTCTTGTTCTAACATAACCAAACTTCAAGAATCCCTTGCAAAAAATAAGGTAAAGTGGACATTCGCGCGCGCAAAACGAAATCCTTCCAAAACCTGAGTGTTCGTAGCGATTTTAACATAAACACATCAAAAAACCAATGTTGTTTTTTCAAAAAAAAATGTCAGAAACGGAAAAACGTCGTATCAGACGCTAGCGCCTCACCAGCCAAAGCAGTCCATATCATTGTAGGACCTACAGACAGTACCGGCGTCGTACTGGTTTACCGTGGTTTCCTATTCTAGCGTCAGGAACACGGTACCACCAAAAACCAGTACAGGTGTCCAGTGTTGGAACAGGGGGAAAAGTCGTATACTAAGCTAGCGTCCAGAAAATGTTACCACAACAAATCACTGTACCCATGCGCCAGTGTAGTAGCCACGGTCGTCCGCAGGCCACGAAGTGAAGTGTCCGAACGTCATAGGGCGGGAAGCTGGGTGTGGGTGGTGGCGAAGAGTCGTTTGGAAATGTGGTAGAGCTTGAACCGGCCCCCCCACAAAGTGGGGGTATTGGCGGGCGTCGTATGAAAACCCTGGCACTGGTGAGAACGGAGTGTCCCCACGTGCTAGTAATTGTTGTTGTTGTTGTTGTTGTTATTGCTGACGTTGTTGTTGTTGTTGTTGTTGTTGTAGTTGTAGTTGTTGTTGTTTTTGTTGTTGTGTTGTCATCGTCGTCGTCGTCGTCGTCATCGTAGTCGTCGTCGTCGTCGTCGTCGTCGTCGTCGCCGCCGCCGCCGCTGCTGCTGCTGCTGCTGTTGCTGTTGTTGTTGTTGTTGTTGTTGCTGTTGTTGTTGTTGTTGTTGTTGAATTCTCATGTCAGAAGAATAATTATTGTTGACCCCCCCCACTGGTGCAGACTGTTTTTTCTGAATCAAAATGTGCCCCTCGACGCTCGCACCCTGTTTTTTGACAGGGACAATCTTCCTGCTCAAACTGGGCCCCTGGCCCCCAGGTTACAACAACAACGGCTCCCGCCTGAGACTTCCTAGCAATTTAGGCAGGACCCCCGCTCCCGCCCGAGACTTCCTCGCATTTTATTCAGGAATCGCGCTCTCGCTTTGGACTTCCTTACAATTTATTGAAGAATCGCTCTCCCGGAGCTCTGGAATCGCGCTCTCGCTGGAAACTTGCTTGTAACTTACTGAAGAATGGCCTTGCGTTGGAATTCCCTGCAATTTGCCCAAGCGCCGCGCTCCCGACACCCAGGCACCCAGGAGTCGCGCCCGTTGTGGCCCCATGTGCGTGCCCTTCGCGGCCCCGCTGTCGCCATTTGTGTCCCCCTCATTGTCCTACGTGGCCCAGTTGCTACCCTCAGTGGCCCCATAGTTGCCTTCTGTGGCCCCGCATTATCTGCACTTCGTGGCCCCCGCTCGTTCGCACTCTTCGTGGCCCCATACGCATTCCCTTCGTGTCCCCGCTGTCGCCCTTTGTGGCCTACTTCGTGCCCTTCGTGGCCCTGCTGTCGTTCTCTCTCGCTCTCGCTTTCGCTCGTCGTCGCCGTCGTCTTCGACGTCGTTCGTCGTCGTCGTCGTCGTCGTCGTCGTCGTCGTCGTCGTCGTCGTCGTGGTCGGTCCCCTGTCCGTCCCGCTTGGGGTCGGGTCGACGGTCCGCGGCCGCCCCGCCGATCAGCGCTGCCGCTGGCCAGGCCGACGGTCCGCGGCCGCCCCGCCGCTTGCCGGGGCCCGGCCTGCAGGGAAGAAAAGTATACCCCCCAAAAGGGGTTCGATCGAAGACGAAGAGGGCGGGTATCGAGGGTTTGGGAAATACGCGTTGTTGGACACTCGAGCATATAAGGGCGAACAGTCTTAACACGATTGTTGTTGTTGTTGTTGCTGTTGCTGTTGTTGTTGTTGTTGTTGCTGTTGCTGTTGCTCTTGCTGTTGCTGTTGTTGTTGTTGTTGTTGTTGTTGTTGTTGTTGTTGTTGTTGTTGTTGTTGTTGTTGTTGTTCATTTTGCGCTGGCGAGGAAGCGAAACGGGGCTGCCGTGGAGCGAATTGTGCCACCATGCAAGGAGGGGAGGAGAAGACGACGAAACGACGGCCGAGAGGAGGAGGAGGAAGCGGGCCGGGGCCGCTCAGGGGAACGGGTCGTGCCCAGGGGCGCGTGGCGCGGCCGTCACCGCCGCAGGGCCCGCCGCAGCAGCGGGGCGGGGGGGCCAGCGGCGGGGGGCCCGAACAGGCAGGCCGCCGGAGGCATTCCCACAGCCTCGAATGGGTAGGCGTCCCCCTCCCTTGCGGTTCCCCCCTGGGGTGCTTAAGCGCTGCGCCTGCCATCTTGCGGTGAACATCGGGCCCTCGAAAGAAAGACGCCTGGGAGTCAACGAGAGCAAATCGCTGGAGACCTCCTCACAATCGTGATGCGCACGGGAGTGTGAAATACCCCTCGTGACACCCTCTTTGGGCACCCAAATGCTACGCCTGCATTATCGAGTTGGACATAATATCGCCGCGTAAGAACATTCAGGGGGGGCCACAGCAGCCAAACCGTGTGAGACATCATCTGGCTGCTAACTGGTGAAAGAAAAACGCACCCTTTCGGCACCCGCATTGGAATGCCCCGATGCTGCGCCTGCTAGATCGCGGTGAAAACTGGGCATCAAACAAACATGTCGGGGGAGGGGGGGGAAAGGCACAACCGGCAAACCGCCTGAGACGTCCCAATAATCTTGGTGCGAACGGGGGCGTGACATACTCCTGGCGGCTCGTCCTTGGGGTACCCAAATGCCACGCCTGCTATGTCCTGGTAAGTAGTGGACCTTCTTTAAGGAGAGAGGCCTGATCAACCCCAAAACGCAAACCGCCCGAGACATCCCCACATATTGGCCGCGAGCGGAGGTATGAAATGCAGTTCCTCCTTGGGGTGCCCAGATGCCACGCCTGCAACATCGCGGTGAGCATTGGGCCCCCCTTGGAAGAAAAAGCTGGAACAACCAACTCGGCAAACGGCTTGGGTTATCTCCACAATGTGGGAGCGAAGGGGGACATGACAGACCCCCTGACGACTTCCCATAAGGGTGCGCAAGTGCCACGCCTGCTACACAGCGGTGAGCATTAGACTCCCGTGAGTAAGTCAGAGCTTTGTTGAATCTGTATGTGAGTGGGCCTGTATGTAAGTCTGATTGTGTGTGTGTGTGTGGGTCTGTGCGTGAGTGATCGGTGGTAAGCATGGCTGAGTGGATGTGCTCTGTGTGATTGATGGGGATGAACGAGCTTAGATATTCTGGATGTGCGGCCCTCTGGACCGTCACATGATGAAAAGATGTCCTTGGGAGGCGGTCCTGGCGCCTCGGTGGCTTCGAGATTACTCCTGCTCCGATCTTCTGGGTCCCGAGTCAGCGGTGAAGAAAGAGGGAGGGCGTGGGATAAGGACTGGAAGTAGGAAAAAGAACGGAAGTGGGTGATGATGAGGAAGGGGACGATCACTGAATCCGTAACGGGCTCGTCTCGGAGTTTCGCCTCAACGCGGTATGGTCTCATTGGTGCACTTGGTCGATTCGGATGAGAGCGTTGCATCCTACCACGCTTGCAAATAATTTGAGACCAGGAGGAGGAGGAAGAGGAGGAAGGAGGAGGAAGGAGGAGGAGGTGGAGGACGAGTAGTTAGTAGTTGTCGTCGCTGCTTGAGAGAAGCACGTCGCGAGCAAAGCAGCATACACCACGACCACGACGGCGAAACCGACGGCGACACAGATGAGGCGCGCTTACGATTCGCACGACGGAGACGAGGCGCGCTTGTGATCCGCACCTCAGCAGCGCATGAATGCGCAAACCCGAAAGGTCTGCCTGCCTGCTGCTCCGTGGGGGCCTGTGCTCGGGGGGGGGGGAGCCGCAGCTCCGCTTAACGATATGCTGTGTACCAAACCTTGCAAGGTGCGCCTTTTCCCCGATCCGCGCTTCGCTGCGGTCGAGACCGCCAGGTCCAGCAGCCGTTGTCCTGACAACTTATCCAAGAACCGTGATCTTGCCTAATTGCTGGCTGCATTCTTGGTCCCAACGGCCACTATCCCGGATAACAATTGTATACCGAGGGTGCACATGGCTGTGCTCTCACCTGTGGCCCGGCTGCGTCTCCTCTTTCTCACGGCTTCCCGGCCGTGCATCCCCCCCTCCTCGACCCGCCTCTTCGCTTTTGCTGCTGTTGAGGTGCTTTGCTGGCGTAATCTATTCTGGCCCCTCCGCTCTGGGACGCTGCCCGAGTGCTGGGAGCCGCCAGGCGCTGCCCACGAGCCTAGGCAACACTGCCCAGGAGCTGCCTCGGCGCTCAGGAGGCCCTGCAGACGAGCTGCGCAAACGCCTGTGGCACACGTATTGGCTTGGAAACGAATAGGGAAGCGCTTTGCGGAACAGGCTGCGAGTTCCAGGAGGCTGCCCCGACGCTCCCTGGCCAGCAGCCGTGGAGAGGAAGTTAGCCTAGCCCCGCCTGCTGGAGTCCTCTCTAAAACCCTGATTGATCTGTCATCCCGAGGTCCGACGTTGCAAACAAACATGCAACATCGTGAAACTCACGACCGGAACCGTAGACCCAAGCGTTCTGCGCCACTTGCGGGTCGGATCGACCTGTGAGGGCCCCAGAGCCCAAAGAGCGGCGAAGTTGCCCGCGGGGGAAGAACTTGAGATGCCAGGATCTCAGGGCAGACTGGGGCCGTTTGGGCGATTTCGGAAACCCTGAACCCAAAAACGTTTCCATCTCTTGGATGCGCAACTTCTTACTTCCGCCGCCTTCCGCCGAGCTTCCGCCGGCTACCACCAGCGGAGGCGGCCTCGTTTCACTTCCGCCGACCTTCCGCCGCCTTCCGCCGAGGAAGAGCTGGCAGCTCCTTCGATCCTCGAAGGCCAGGCCCTTCTTGGAACGCTCCATGTATCCTGGCGCCTCCGCTCGCACGCTCTGCTCCGCGAGGGCCTCTCACCGCCCCGCGGCCGCCGCCGCGCGCGCCCAGCCCGGCGCCCGCGCCCACGGTGCGCAGCAGCCTCGCCGCCAGCCGCGCGAGGCCGGCCGCTCCCGGCACAGGCGGCGCGGCGTCGGGCGGCCGCGCCACGGCGGCGCCGACGGCCGACGCGGCCTCCTGTCGGCCACACGCCAGGGGGGCCCGACGGCCGAGGTGCTACCAGGAGGAACGCTGCGGCATGTTCGTGCTCGTGTCGACCCCGGCGTCGGTTCCTGACACTGCGGGGATCTCGTTCCGCCTCGAACGATCGGCCGTTTCCGAAGCGGTCGATTAGTCAACGTCGGCCGATTCTCTGGGCCACGGGGCGGCGTGCAGCGCTGAACGCCCGCGGCGGGGTCGCCGCCGGTCGGCACGACGCGAACCTGCCGTAGACAAGGAACGGAGCCCCTTCTTCGGCCCAGGGCGTGCCTGGGTGCACGAGGAGTGCCGAAGGAGCTGCCATGGAAGAGCTCGAGGAACAGCGGGCCCCTTCCGAAGCCAAAGCGATCCTCATACCAGCGTCTTGGCTGCAGGTAAGGAGAGTGACCTCGGGTGCGCGGCCCAAGGCAAGGCCCTTTGGGGACACCGCCAGGCGCGCCAGCCGCTGCTACATCGCATCCACCGATCGGGGGGCCGCATTGTGCCCGCGCCAAAGAAGGCTCCCCGGCGAAAGGCCACCGTTGCGTGCAGCCGATCCCACAAAGGAGAATGAGATGCCGACCTGGATCTTGGATCTCCTGAATTCTTGAGCGAAGAAAAGCACGGGTGCTTCTCCTCCGTTCTGGCCTCTGGCTGCCCGTCCTCGGGCCCCTGGGGCATCAAACGCGGCTCCGGGGCGAGAAACCGGTCCCAGGGAAGGGGCCAGGAGCTCCTTGGGCCGCGGATTGAACAATCAGAGGGGCGGATGTCTCGGGATACCGCTGCTCGTGCTGGAGAGCCCTCGTCGCTGCGGCCAGATTCGCCTCGAGGTCATGGCCAGAGCCCAGACATCCGATGTCTGGATTTTTTGGATGTGGCCCTCGCGGAAGTCCCGACCCTTTCCCCAGGGCTGGTTATTCATCGTGAGTGGTCTTTTGGCATTTCCATGGCTCGGCGAAGGCCCCCAGAGGCAGAAAACGGAGAACAAGACGCAGCCTTGATTTTTTTCTGTGCATTGGACGTCAAGGGGGCGCGCCCCAGGATAGATCTGGGGAGTTCGTGGCGGAATCGGTACGCAATTCTTAATGAGAACCTCTGTGCCTCAGGCTTCGAGGCTCGCTCCTGAAACGCAATCCGCAGTACCTAAGCTACGCGGTAAAGTTCACACCGGATGGTGTGAGCGCCCCCCCTGACTCTCTACCGTCCATACCTTCTGGCCAGCAGGAGGCTGACTTAGTGATCTTCTCGAGGGACAGAACATTGCACAAACATAAACTTTCAGAGCGTCGCGCCCATTTATTGAATCGTCGCTGCAACCCCCTCCCTGTCAACGCTTGTGATCGCTGAATCGGCCACCTGCTGATCGGAAGGTGTGGAAGGTGGAGACTCGGGCATTGCTCAAAGGGGGGGCGATATATCGGGGGAGAACTGTTTACCGTTCGCGCCCCTTTTGCGCCCTAAAGGGGCCCCTCTCGGGCACCAAAGGGCCCCTGGAGGGTCCCCCTCACTTGTCGCCCGGTGCCCCAGAGATCCGACGTTGCGAAATAACTGAAACGTCGCGAGAAATCATGACTGAAGCTCTAGACCAATCTTCCCGCGCCATTTTTCGAGCCGCATCGACCTGTGAGGGTCCTGGGGCCCGAATCTGGGTGAACACGCCCGGCTCGAACAAATTGAGCCGCCAGGATCTCAAGGGCGGGACCGGACATCTGATTCGGGGGCGTCCAAGAGGGGGGGGCGGCGCAAATCATGACCACCGGCATGTGCGCGGCCGGGGGGGGACTGGGGACGTATTGAAATAAGATGAGGCGCCATGAAATCTGGAGAGATATCATGGCCCCCGCCATGATATCGACACCCCTCTAGTCATCACCCCCCTCTTGGCCGCCCCCGACTGATGCACTGATTTTTTCAACATGTGGTCCCCGGAAGTCGCCTCTTGCCCCAGTGCAGGCTTGCCATCCCGAGTCCTTTATTCTTGTTGGTCCAGGAGCCCGGCGAGGGCCTCCAGAGGCCGACGACATGCGAAACACCTGCGTCCTCTTCTTCGCAAGGCGTCGGACTTCTGGGAGCGGTGGGGAGCCAGGGCTGGGATAGGGAACCGAAAAGTGACATAAACATAAAACTCGGAGGTCCGCGCGGATTTCTCGAATCGGCGCTGGACCCTTCTCCCTGGCGCGCGGAGCGCGCCAGGGGCGGCGCCGGAGGCGCCGCCGGGGGGCCCCAGCGCCGATCCGAGAAATCCGCGCGGACCTCCGAGTTTTTATGTTTATGCCACTTTTCGTTCCCCTATGGGAGAGACCCGGGGAGTCTGTGGCGGCATCGGCACCCCGTCGCTGCCCGGCGGGAGGGAGGAGGAGGAGGAGGAGAGAGGAGAGAGGGGGAGGAGGGGAGAGGAGGAGAGAAGAGGAGGAGAGGAGAGGGGAGAGGAGAGGAGAGGGAGAGAGGGAGGAGGAGAGGAGGGGAGGGAGGAGGAGAGAGGAGGAGGGAGAGAGGCCCGGGGGAGTCTGTGGCGGCATCGGCGCCCCGTTTCGCTGCCCCCACTCCTGCGCCCTGCCGGCCTCCAGGAGCCTCACGCCGGCCGCGAGCGGAGCGGCGCCGGGGTCCATCCCGGCCTCTCGGAGGGCGAGGCGGAGACAACGGCCGTTGGCCTTCGTTTTTTTTTTTTTTTTTTTTTTTTTTCCCCTCGCCAGGCGATTATGACACCACGATTCCGGAGCACTGCGGATCACCACAGCCGGTGCCCTTCGGGGCGGCCCCCTCGAGACCCGACGCCGCGAGCAGATTTTGCAGCACCGTGAGGGATATCACGCCTGGAGGCCCACCCAGAGATCCAACGTGTTGAAAGCATCGGCCACTGGAGGCCGTCGCCTGCGTCAACAAAAGCGACTCGAGGGTCCTCTGGGCCGAAACTGGGGGAGAAAGCCTGCTGCGCTCAGATCTCAAGACCCCTCGTCGCCACGGCCAGACGCAGCTCGGAGAACTCGTGCGTCTGGACCCCGGGAGGGGTCTGGGGAGCGATTTCGACCCCGTCCTTGACATCCGCCGATCTGTTATTTTCCAAGCCGCGGCCCCAGAGAGAGGTCTTGACCCCTTCTTTAGGGCCTGTTTTTCGCCCCAGATCCACTCTTGATGGTCCCAGGGCTCGAATACGGACCCCAAACTCGAGGAACAACGCCATGATTGAAACAATCATGTCGTCGGAGATCTGGATTATATCGTGGACCCCGGGAGGCCTCGACCCATTCCCCGGGACTGGCTTTTCATCCCGAGTCGATGTTGGACGGCCCTCTGGCGCGGCGAGGGCCCCCAAAGGCCGAAGATAAAAAGGCTCCGTCTTGACTCTTTCAATGCGTTGGATGTCAGGGCTCCCCCAGACACCCGACGTCGTGCTTTCTTTGCAGCGTGGCTCCCCAGAAGTCTGGACCGCTTTGCTGGGACTGGCTTCCCATCCAGAAATATTGCTTATGACGGCCCTGGGGCCTAGTCAGGGCCTCGAGGGGTCTAAAACTATCAAAAATCTTCAGCCAGCCCGTCCTTATACCTATCTGTCACCGGCTCGCGCAGCCGAGCGCACTGGAAGAACACATCATCACCATCCCCATCCCCATCCCCATCACAACCACCAACACCACCACCATCACAATAATACTTATAATCATCATCATCATCATCATCATCATCATCATCATCATCATCATCATCATCATCATCATCATCACAATCCCCCAAACCATCCCCGTCCCACTCCCCATCACCAGCACCAGCACCATCATCATCATCATCATCATCATCATCATCATCATCATCATCATCATCAGCATCATCATCATCACCACAATCATCATCATCATCGTCATCATCATCATCATCATCATCATCATCGCCATCGCCATCGTCACCATCAACAACATCATCATCAACATCGTCACAATCATCATAACCATCGTCAACACCATCGTCATCGTCAGTATCCTCACTTTCATCTTCAGTCCTATCTTCGCCGTCATGATCGTCATCACCATCGTCAACATCATCAGCATCGGCATCACCATCACCATCACCACCATCATTACCACCATCGTCATCGTCATTGTCGTCGTCATCGTCATCGCCATCACCATCATGATCAAGTTCATGATCATGATCGTAATCACCATCAACATCGCCATCATAATCATCATCACCACCATCGTCCTCATCCTCATCCTCATCCTCATCCTCATCCTCATCCTCATCCTCATCATCATCATCATCATCATCATCACCATCATCATCACCATTACTACGAGCATCACCATCATCATCATCATCATCATCATCATCATCATCATCATCATCACCATCGTCCTCATCCTCATCCTCATCCTCATCATCCTCGTCCTCGTCCTCCTCCTCCTCCTCCTCCTCCGCATCAAACCTTCCGCCACGTCATGTCAAGACCCGAGGGGGTCTCGGAGCAGTCTTTGGGCTGCCGTTGTCTCAGCTCGCCCAGCCCCGAGCCTCGGGGCCGCCGGCTGCCCAGAGGCGGAGCACGGCGGCCTCGTGGCGGAGCAGCGCGCGCTGCTCGCACTCGGCCAGCAAGCAGCGCGCGAGCGCCTCGGCGCCCCGCGGCGGGCTCGGCGCCTTCGCCAGCAGGGCGTCGAGGATCTCCTCAGCCCGTGCACTGTGCTACCCCTGAGATCCTGGCGTCGCAGTCTTGACGGGCGAAGAGCGGTGTAAGATCAACGGTTGCGCCGTCGGGGGCGCCTGTTCCAGGGCGGCTGGAAAGTTCATGCATCTACGGTGGCACGTCAGGGTGCAAACTTTGCAGCCGCCCTGGGACAGGCGCCCCCGGCGACGGAGAAGCTCATTTCATGCCGTTCTTCGCCCGCTAACGATCTTCTCGCAACGGGCGATGCTGCCACGTCTCGGACCTGGGAACCATCACGGGCCAGTCTGGCTGGCAAAGCGCCGCAGAAAGGTGGGGCCTGGGGCTCCGGCTGTGACTCCTCTCGACGCTGCAGCTCTTCCGCGGCGCTGGATCTCAGGGCCTGGCCGAGCGGCAGAGACCCCACGGCCCTCGCGCAGGTGGTGGCGCCGGCCTCCATCCGGCGCTGGCGCATGCCGCCCAGGTGCGCCAGGGCGTGCTGCCACTGCCTGCCCTTGCGCGCCGCCTTGACGGCGGCCGCGAGCGCCACCTCGTCCGGGGCCAGCTCCAGCGACAGCATGTCGGAGACCAGGCGCAGCGCCGCGGCCCAGGCCTCCTTGCTCCTGGCGCAGGCGCGCACGGCGGCGCCGCAGGCGTCGGCCGTGTGAGGCACGCCCCGCCGCGGCATGTCCGCGAGCAGCGCGAGGGCCTGGGCCCAGTGCTGCCCCCTGCCCCACGCCGCGATGGCGCCGCCGTGGTACGCGGCCGCAGCCGGGCCCGGCGTGGCGGCGCCCGGCGCGAGCAGGACCTCGGCCAGCGCCAGGGACCGCTGCCACTGCTGGCCCCGGCGGCACGTCTCGAGCACCACGGAGACGGTGGGGACCGCCACCTCCAAGGGAACGAAGACTGGGATAAACATAAAAACTCGGAGGCCCGCGCGGATTTCTCGGATCGGCGCTGGACCCCTCTCCCTGGCGCGCGGAGCGCGCCAGGGGCGGCGCCGCCAGGGGGGTCCAGCGCCGATCCGAGAACTCCGCGCGGACCTCCCAGTTTCTATGTTTATGTCATCCTTCGTTCCCCCAACCTCGAGGCCCTGCGCCCGCATCATCCACAGGAAGTGCAGGGACTGCCGCCACGACTGCAGCGAGTCGCCCGAACGGATGGCCGCGTCGTAGGCGCTGGCGTCGAGGCTCCCCAGCAGCTCGCGCGACAGCAGCCACTGCCCGCCCCGCCTGCAGGCGGCGGCCACGGCGTGCCAGCAGATCGGGCTCGGCACCACCCCGGCACCCTGCATGGCGGCGAAGACGGCCAGCGCCCGCGCCCACTCCCGACGCCTGGAGCAGGCGCTGATGCAGGAGGTGAACGTGAACCCGTTCGGCTGCAGGGAGCTGCGCCGCATCTCCCCCAGCAGCTGGAGGCAGCGCGTCCACTGCAAGCCCCGGCCGCAGGCGCTGATGGCCGCGCTGAGCGTGATGGTGCCTGGCTCCTGAGCGTCGTTGAACCGATCCCCATCCCCACGGGCACGGCCTCGGACCCTCTGGTCGAGCACTCCCCTAGGTCAGGACAAATCCGCAGACCCTTCGGCGTGTGGAGGAGGCTGTCGTCGTCGTCGTCGTCGTCGTCGTCGTCAGTCCCTACGAAATTGAGGAACAATGATCACGGAATGTCGTACGCCCCTTCCCTTTATCCCTTCCCTGGGGGGGGCAGGGTGCGGGGGGATGGGTGGGGATCCCGGGTCAGAATGTCGCCCCGCGGGGTCTTTGTGGGTCCTGGGGGTCCCGGGGAAGGTCCCGCTTTCAAGGTCGGCGACACTGGCCCAGGCCGCAAGGCCTTCGCAATATGCTGTCCCCGCCGGGCTTCGCGGGGCCTGTCCCCAGCTCGGAGGGTGGGCCGGGGGGGCGGTAATCCGCTGGTCCAATGTCGGAAGTGGACAGAACCCCGTTTAGCAAAGCGCCCCTTAATGAAAGCTGCCAGGGGCACTCCAAGTGCGCACGGCACCGCGTTCCGAGTGCACTCCAGCGGGGTAGCCAACCGACGTCCATACATGACTGCACTGGCACACTCGAATACAGTCGGGCCGCTGAACTAAGGAACGCCAAAGAAGGAACGAAGCCCCTCTTAGGTCCCAAAACCGCCTTCGCTCACGAGGAGGGCTGGAAAAACAGCCATGGAAGGACCTGAAGAACGTCCAGCCCCTTCTGGACCCAAACTGCTCCTTATTTCAGCGTCTTGACTGTACCAATGTCGAGTGAGTTGTTGCAGATTTCCTCAGTTGACTTGTCTGGGGGAGGCATTCTGTCAATGCCCAACAGTGGGGATGGGGACTGGTTTAACGATGCTGAGCTCCAGCGTCAGCTGCCCGATCTGCCGCAGGATGTCCAGCGCTCGACCCCAGCTGCGCTCGCGGCCGTGGTGCTCGATCAGCGCGGTGCCGTGGCGGCGGTTTTGGATCTCGCCGCCCAGCGCCCTCCTCGGCTGCAGGCAAGAACTCGAGTAGGGGATCCACTACAGAATTGAGTTACTCCAGACTTTTTTTTTCTCCGTCAGGTCTCCGAAAGCACGTAGAATGTTCGTAGATCTACGAACGTTCTACGTCATTTTCGTAGATTCGACGAAAACTGGAATTTCGGGGTAAGTCAATTCTCTTGTCGATCTCCTACTCGAAGACCAAGACCGGCCCATGGCAAGGGTGACCTCTGGTGCGCTGCTTTGCAGGGGGGCGCGGTGAGAGCCAGACCCGAGCTCGCATGCCGCAGCTCTATCGCATTGTGCTCCGCGAGCGGGGGACCGCACCGGGCCCGCACCAGAGGCCACTCCGGCGAAAGGTCACTCGAGCCCTGACATTGGCCGGCAAGACCTTTCCCACGCGCGGCCGCGGAGGCGCCGACCCCTCCCCCAAGGAGCTGTTTTTTTCGCAATGGGTTCATTCTTGGTGGCCCCGGGCCCCGAGAACGGACCCAGTGAGGCCGAAAGCGAAGCAACACGCGCCCGGATGGACAAACAACAAATCTTCGGATCGCTGAAGGTTTTATCCATTATTATTATCCTCTGGCGCGTAACGGTCGTCACCCGGGCCAACCCCTCCCCCCCCAGGGTAACGATGACGATCGTGCGTTCTGGGGGAATGGTCTGCCAGTGCTCGCATGAGCCCTGCCAGTGTTCGCAAGCGCCCTGCCGGTGCTCGCAGACTTGGCGCAGGTCCCTGAGATCCGAAATCTATTGAAGCATTGTGAAAATCACGACTGGAGCCCTAGACCCTGTCTTCCTGCGCCCTTTTTCGAACCGGGTCGACCTGGGAGGGTCCCGGGGCCCGACAAAAGGGCGAAAGCGCGGGCCTCGAACAAATCGAGATGCCAAGATTTCAAGGTCCGCCCAAAAACGCTACCGTTACTTTGGACGCCCGACATGGGTACCGAAAAAATGGGCACTATGCCCAGCAACCAATGTTGTCCCAAACCAACAGCGGCCGCTGTTGGGCGGGCGGCCTCCTGTCTCGAATGGACACAGGCCGCGGCGGCGTGGACAGCGAGCCCTGTTCAAAATGAACAAGAACTGCAGTTGGGCATCGTACCCATTCTTTCAGTACCCATTTCGGGCGTCCAGAGTTATGACCCCCCTTCCGGGGGGCGGGGCGTAACGACCGTCACGCGGCTGGATGCCTCGGAGCTCCTGCCAGCCGCCGCTCGCTCGCGGTCTCCAGCGGGGGCCTCCGCGGCGCGCTCTGGGGCGGGCCGCTCCCGGACCGTCCCGGCCGCCCTGGCGCGGCTCCGGGCGGGTGCGGCGCCGCGCCGGCTGCCGCGAAGGGACGACGGCCCGCGCGGGAGCGCCATCGGGCCTCATCCCCGGGGCAGGGGGCCCAACCAGATGCACCACTCTGAGCCCCGCAACGGCTACGGGGAAGGGGCCCAGACGTGCTCTTTGTCGTCGCGAAAGAGCACGACGCCTTCTTTCTTGCAGTCGTCGGCGTCCCGGGGCCCTCCCCGGGCCCCCAGACTGTCAAAAAACAAGTCGGGATGAAAGACTGGTTTGGGGGAAGAGGTCTAGACCTCTGGGGGTCGACATTGTCACGAATAACGAGGTCAGATATCTGGGGAGGGGAAAAGTGCTACAAATGATGGAAAACATATCACCGAACAACTATCCTGGCCAACCCTCCGGCCAATCCCAACCACCCCCCTGGCCAACCCTCCCAAACAAACCCTCTGGCCAACCCTGGTTAGGGTTATTCTTCCCATGCCATACAATACTGTAAAGGGACAAGAAGAGGGAGACGGGCGCGTTTTGCATGGGTTGGAAGCACTGGCGTCTGCTACGTGCAATCGCAACGCACGGCTGCATATTCAAAAACCACAACTCACAAAACACTGCCACACTGCGCTTGGCAGGAGACCGCGAGGGTGACAAATCTAACGTAGTCTGGAACACAGCATCTCAACAATAGATGCTGCGCGGAGAGAGCACCAATCAGATAAAGCATGAACGGGCACGATCCCAAGTAGGGGTCTTCTCTCTCCCGAATCGATTCCAAACAGTTCGGAGCAGTGCAAAGCACTGCAAATAATTGCTAGGCTTTGCTTTCCATTGCTTGGCGTTGCTTGGAAGCGTTGCTTGGCATTGCTTCCCATTTCTTGGCGTTCCTTTGCGTTTCGTGGCATTGCTTGGCATTCTTGGCATTGCTTGCCATTGTTCCACGGTGCTTGACATCTGCTTTGCGTTGCTTGGCGCTGCGTAGAATCGTTGCTAGGCACTGCTTTACATTGCTTTACATTGCTTGGCGTTGCTTTTCGTTGCCTGGCGCCCCCGAGGACCCCCAAGGACCCCCGAGCAACGACTGAGGAGCCCTAGGCAACGCCAGGGGGCCGAGGAACCTCAAGGAACCTCGAGAACTACCCGAGAAAACTGGGGGAACGCCGAGGACCGCCTCTGACAAAGGGTCCCGCACACACACACACATGTGTTCCTTTCACAAGCCTATATGGACCCGATCGGCAAAACCGACTTTGGAAAAAAAAGCCGTCGCTCCAGCACCCGACCACTAGGACCATGCAGCATGGCAAGGAGCCGCTGTGAAGAAGACAGGGTCGCGCTCATACACGTTGCAACGACCTATGGCTACAAGTTCGCGCGCGGCTGTCGCTGCAGCATGCTCAGTGCCCCTCCAGGAAGCTCCGTACCAACTTGGCGTGCTCGTAGCCAAAAGTGACGCAGTCGGGGAAAGCAACTCCAGAGCGGTAGTTCCCGCAGATCCACAGCCCTGGGACCTTTGCCTCGGCCTCTTCAAGCTCCTTCATCAACTCCAAGTGGCCCAACCTTAGCGCCAGGAAACTCCTCCTGGTCGTCCTCCGCATCTTCTTCCTCCCCCATCCCCCTTCCTTCTGAACGGTGGGGCCTCGATCATCCAATGCTCCTCATCCTTGCCCTCCCCCTCGAGTTGCCGATCCCGGCCGCCGATCTCGTGCTCTGGCCACGGCCTCCAGCACAGAGAACACCGCCCGAAGCCTGGATCGGAGGTCGAACACAACCCATGCCAGAAACAACAGAGGCCTCCCAGATGGGTCGGGAGCAGATGGGGTCGGAGAATCGCGCGGCATCGCCGATGTCGGCGATGCATCGGCGATGCATCGGCGACGCATCGGCGACGCATCGGCGACGCATCGGCGGCGCGGGCGTGGAAAAAGTCTGGCTCCCCATCGAGTTGCATCCCCGATGCATCTGCGGTGCGGCGTGATCCACCGACCCCATCTACTCGGACCCCATGAGGGCGGCCCAGAAACATAAAAGGTCCCAGAGTACTTATACTGCTTTGGGAACATCTGTGAACTTACCCTCACACGCGCCTGCCATCGTATCCCCAGACTAGAGAGCATGCTGCAATTCGGCCGGGACCTGGACTGTGCTCGCCTTCCGTGGAGCTGCTAGTGGGCGCCGCGGCACCTTCGCATCGGCACTGACATCTGGGCTGGCCGGGTCAGGCAACGCCCACGACCCCGGCACGGACCTCTCCTGTAGAAGAGGGAGAACCAGCATACATATAAAATTTTGGCGCTCCGCGCGGATTTCTTGGATCTGCACTGGACCCCCCTCCCTGAAGCGCGGAGCGCCGAAAGGCTTTCTTGTTGTGTTGTATATATATATATATGTGTATACATATATATAGACATACACATGTATATGTATATATCTATATATACATATGTTTACAGCCTTTTTCTTCGTCGAA